TGCTGGAAGGTCTGCTACAACACGTACAGTCCCAAATCCTCCTTAGCTTTTTGGTATATTGTTGTGACATACTATTTTTATATAATACTATTCTTATTTACTATTCTTATTTTATTTTAAAAAGAAAAGAAAACGCGATTAAGGATACACCGACCGTAAAAAAAGGTCTTCGTATTTTCACTTTGGGTCTCTAAAACCATATCACCGATGTGATCTATATCTGCATGCATATCACCCAGCATCTGCTCGATATTACTTAGGTCTGCTTGAATTTCCGACAATTGATCTTTAACTTGATCTTTATTTTCGCTATTCATTTAATTTAATTTAACCTTATTTTAAAAATGGCTAGTGCTTTAATGATGGTGGGAGGAGCGATAGTAAACGCTTTGGCATTCACGGGCTCAAATTTTTTATTTAGCAGTTTATCAAAAAGTAAAGTCGACGAAGAACGAAAGCGTCACGACCTCGCGTTGGAGCAATTGGCGCAAGCGAAGGAATCCTGGGAACAAAACTGCGTACACATGTTAGACTTTTTAAACGAACGAATGCGACAAGAACGCGCGAGTCAGCAAACATTTGTAAACGTGGATCACGCCGTTACCACCAGAGCCTAAGTTGTCCGATTTTTACGAGCCTACCGAGGATCAAAAAATTCGCGAGTTTGTTTGGATTATATCCGGACGGCCTTGGTGGGGTTGTTAGCTTAGCGATTTGCATAACTTATTTTAAAATGGAGAGAGAATTTTCAAAACTATTTTACAGCCCACAGGGTTACTGGAGAGGAGAAAGCGCGGTCGATCATCTACACGAAAAGACCAGTGCTGACAAATCAGTTATTAGAAACTGGCTAAAAAAGCAGGCCGTTTGGCAAATATATTTACCAAAAGCACATTACGTACCCAGACCTACAATGTTGCAATCAGAATCGGTCGAACCTAATTGCGCGCATCAAATGGACATACTTTATTTACCCTGGGACCGAGTTAAAAGAAAACCGTTTAAGTACGCTTTGCCGGGGTAGACGTGGGTTCGCGGTATAAAGAAGCCGAGCCGTTGACCAGTAAAACCGCCGAACATGTAACCGAAGCGACCAAGAAAATTTACGAGCGATCACCTCTGACCTGGCCCAAATTCGTAATGGTAGACTCGGATCTGAATTCAAAGATGACTTCAAACGGTTAATGACAAAAAATAAAGTACAAATTCAAGTGGGTACACAGATCTCAAGGAATCGTGGAAAGGTTTAACCGCACTTTAGCCGAGCGTTTATTCGGTCATCAATACGCTCAAGAAATGATAAACGTGGGTGAACGAAACGTGGAATGGGTGGAGCGTTTGCCTCAGGTCGTGAAATCGTTAAACGAGGAAAAAACGCGGTTAATCGATGCCGTTCCTGCAGAAGCCGTCAAATTAGCGAGCGGAGTGAAACAAGCACCGAGTGCACCTGTAAGAACCACCCAAAGAGAACTTCCTCCAGACGTGGTCGTTAGGTACCTCTATTACCCGGGCGAGCAAGAGGGAGGCACCGTCAGAAGGGCGACGGATCCGATCTTGGCCGTGGACGTCTATCAAATTGAAAAGCGCACGAGTCAATTTAAACGAGTGAAAGGCAAGAGGGTAAAAACGGGTCCAACTTTGTTCTATTTATTAAACGGACCAAATAGGAGTTTTGTCAAAGAGGAACTTCAGGTAGTACCCGAAGACACCGAATTACCGAATTAGCTTAGGTTCGCTTCGGTAATACCCGCTTCGCTCGCTTCGTTGTTGATTAGCTTGGGTTCGCTTCGATTCGCTTATGTCCGTAAGCTAACGTATCGATTCCATTTGATAATATGTAGCGCTTTGTATCTAAAGGTGATAGACTAAGTTTCTGTTGAGAGACCGTGAACATTCGATGTTTGTCCGATCTAAATAATTGTTGTTTATTGAAATAAGAAACCCAGTCAAATAGGCAGCTTTTATACATCTCGTGGGTTAACCGTTTCTCGGTTACTACTTTGGAGACCCCTTTCGCCTTCTTTAACTTATGATCGACCGTCAGAATCGAATACATTTTTGGTCTGATGAAAACGGCTTCTAAAATTGTTTTGCCACCAAATTCTTCTTTTATTTTGCCTATGACTTTTTTATTTTTGGTGCTGTAAAGTTGATGATTGGGCGGGTAATTACTAAAGTCAAATAATGAACGATTTTTACTCAGGTAGTCGACCAAGGAATGTTCGCTTCGTTTGATCTGAACTAATAGAGAATCAGTGTCTGTATAAAGTAAGCGTACCCCCTCACCAAAATTGGCTTTTAGTTCGTTGTAATAAAAATCGTACATCAACGTTTTGGAGATATCG